CCACTATTGAAATAATTATTTCAATAATGAACGTTATTTCAATAGTGGTTGGAACAAGGGACATTAAATCTACCTTGTAGCAATAGAACAAATAACTTATACCTCTCTTCCGAAAGTGGACGAAGTCCTCTCGACTTCGGAGGAACCATCTGCAATAGGATTTTATCTGATTAAAATGATACTTTTTTTTAACCCTATGATAATGGATATACAACTATTTACCCGTATACTAGTAGGTGGTTTGATATATATATATATATATATATATATATATATATATATATATATATATATATATATATATATATATATAAAATATATAAGGGTATTAAAGGTTTGTTTGGTTAAAAAAAGTTCTCTTTGATTATGCATACCCTTATTGATTTAATCTAAAAAAAAATGTGTGTACTATCAGAAATCCATGCATTCAAGAACTTTATTCTGCATTGGTGTCTTTCTAATTTTAAAAATTTTCACAGACATGAATTATGATATTAAGGAGAGAAGAAACGTTCTTTTACCTTGATGATTGAAAAGCATCCGTGGTCTAGAAAGGTGTTTCTTGAAATTAATCTCAATATGACTTAGCCCCAAATAATCAATTATGATATGAAATATGAATTTTAACTTTTCTTTTATATTTTTGTTATGATTTTTTCAAGAAAATACTGTAATTTGGGTATTGTAGGATACACATTTTTTTTTATCTCCTTTTCAAATGTGTTCACTTTATGAATCCTAATGAAAAAAGTAATTTTATAACTTTTCATTTTTTAACACTTACCTCTGCTGAACCAAAGGGAGCGACTTCTTCTCTTTAAAGCGCCCCGTGACACTGAGTTTATTCAAGTTGGTAAATATTCTTATTATGTTTTCTTATAATGCTTTGAAATCGATCAGCCTTTCCTCTGTCGTTCTGTAACAACAAAGATGCGAAAGCTTGTGTTCTACAGTACTTGGAAAGTGCTGCTAGAATCGTGTGGTTAACTTCAATTGATATCAATTCCTTGATCGTATGTATAAAATGTAAAACTTTTGGTAAGGTTTCATGCGAAACTTTGGAATATTTTTTTCTGTGTCGGGAGAATAGGATTCAAGCAACACTTTTCATGACCCAGTGATGTTTTTACATAATTATTTTCACTTAAAGAAATGAATTATCCACGGGGTAGTGTTGAACTTTTCACTTTTTCATTAAGGCAATTTTTCTATTTACACACGTCACGTGATGACGTCGTAGTGGAATGCTTGTTTTAGCCTAAGACTCAATGACGTCTATACCACGGCGGGGAATCTACGTCATCATTCGGGATCAGAACACACAAAAATGGCGAACATTATTGTCGGCTGAAGGTATGAAATTGGCATTTATGATTTAGAATCGTAATATATGGAATCTACATACAACCTAAAGAATGTAGAATAGCTAACAGGTCTATAATCTTTAAAAATTTTCCTGAATTAAACGTTAATTTTGCCAAACACTTCGACACAGTTACTGGCGTGAGCGCGAAGTGTTGGAGTATAGGGCACACAATTTTCAAAAAGTTCGCATATGTCCGAATATCTGCAAAACAGTGACTGTCTAAGCACAGATATAATATCCAATATGTTAGAAGTATGCATTGTACGTTAATTTTATGACAGTCTTCTAAAATACGGTTGGAGATTTATTCGTTTCTTGGTAAAACTGATATAGGTCACACCATTTAGAAAGAAGATATGGGGCACACTTTTTATACATGTATAATGTTTTTGGTGAAAGAAATCAGTAAACATATAATAAAAATCTAAATCTAAAAATTGTGCGTCAATCGAAAGTAATGACAAAGATACGGAAGCCGGTTGGTGCCAGGTAGAAAAAATATTTTATCTGGCGGCCGCCAGATAACTTTCTGGCGGCCGCCAAATAATTATCTGGCGGCCGCCAGATAAAAAGATCTGGCGGCCGCCAGATAGGTTTCTGGCGGCCGCCAGATAATTATTTGGTGGCCGCCGGAAAGTTATCTGGCGGCCGCCAGATAAAATATTTTTCTACCTGGCACCTACCGGCTTCCGTACAAAGAGGAAAGGCAATTTAAGTTTAAATCGCCCTAAAAGACATAGAAACGGAAATGATGAAAATAAATGTAGTTCGACATCCCAAAAGCGAAAACGAATTCTTTCAACACCATCAAAAAGGATTTCATTCCGCCCATCGTGTACTAATTTTCAGCGCGCATGTAAGACCCCTTAATAGACGGACAAAAAATCACCTACAAAATCTCCAACCAGGAAAATACCTAGAACACAGTTATTCTCCGAATTATTGACCTCTTGTTCTGAAGACGATTTTGAAATGTTACCATTATGTAATGAAAGAGAAAATAATACTCTCTTAGATAAATTTTTAGAATTGGCACCAGTTGTTGTTACTGCGATTCAAAGACATGATCAGGGTTGCAATTTTTATAATATGTTTCAATTAATAGCACAAGAAAGGTTTCCATGGAGAAATCACTGCTTGAAAAAACACCTTTACAAAACTTTACTTGCAAAGTAAATCTCATTAAAGGTGCTCCAAAAAGCAAGGTCATCTTTATATGAACTTTACAAAAAGTAAAGCTGAAAAGGTAACCTTTACTTAAACGAAAAGGTAATTAAATTTAACCTTTCACCTTTAATGCTGCATTAAAGTTGATATATATATATATATATATATATATATATATATATATATATATATATATATATATATATGAAACTTTTTTAAATCCTTATTTAAATACTGGCCTTTGTTTAATACACTCTACTTAAGATTTCAACAAATTGTTTTTGACTTTTTAAAATAAATAGGTATCTGATGTGTCTATTGTGTTACCCCCACCCCAATTTTGTTAAACTCAATCTTACTAAAAATACACAAATTTTCAAGCGTTATATCAATTTCCAGTTGTATTTAGTATTAGAGATTGCCATCTACAAAATATATAAATTTATACTATTTTTGTATACTGTAGATGGACAATCAAAAATTTAAAAATGGTATCAGATATCAGAATATAGATATAATAACTTTTAAATTCCCTACGACTTAACCTTTAACTTATCTGATTTGCTGATATCTGATAGATGGAGAACTCTTTTTTATTTGCTTTTAGTGTAGCTATATTGAAACCTTTTCTGTTATAATTTCTGCTTCATAAATATCTACCAAAAACAGTTACAAACATTACAAGATTACATCTTTTACTTGAACAGGTAATAAAATGACAAAGAATAAAATTAAAAAGGTTATAATACAACTCAATATTATTTATCCTTTATGGTGGATGTACATATGTTAAAACTTTGCAGTTTAAATGGAACTAAAAATGCCATACTCAGTTATTACTCAAGATCACTGATGAGAAACTACACAACATAAATCAGGCAAAGTACTAGTATTTCCAACTTAAACTATTAAAGGCTGTCTAATGAGTACTTATGTACAGGTTAATAATGTTGACATCTTGTAAGCATAATGGTGCAATTTACATATTCACAAAATAAACAAAATTGCTTAAACACCTATTACAATATAGGTTCAGATGTAGTTTTGCAAGATGCACAAGTAAATGCATGTGTCCAGCTTCACGCAGTGAGCCTGTTTGAGCTTGACTTTATACTTTGGACTGAATGTTACGTGTATTGTGTCTGTGGTAGGAGATTATGTTTGCATACGTGTTCATCTTCACACACCTTGGAAAATATGTAACTGGTTGTGGTAGATGCTTGAGTGTTTGCATATGTGTCCAGCTTCACACATTTTCATGTATGTGCTCGACTTCACACGCCTTGGAAAATGTGTAATTGGTTGTGATAGATGCTTGTGTGTTTGCATATGTGTCCAGCTTCACACATTTTCATGTATGTGCTCGACTTCACAGGCCTTGGGAAATATGTAATTGGTTGTGATAGATGCTTGTGTGTTTGCATATGTGTCCAGCTTCACACATTTTCATGTATGTGCTCGACTTCACACGCCTTGGAAAATATGTAATTGGTTGTGATAGATGCTTGTGTGTTTGCATATGTGTCCAGCTTCACACATTTTCATGTATGTGCTCGACTTCACACGCCTCGGAAAATATGTAATTGGTTGTGATAGATGCTTGTGTGTTTGCATATGCGTCCAGCTTCACACATTTTCATGTATGTGCTCAACTTCACACGCCCTGGAAAATATGTAACTGTGGTTGTGGTAAATGCTGGAGTGTATGCATATGTGTCATGCTTCGCACAGAGAGAAAAGTTTTGTGTTCTCTTTTCTAGAAGATAATGATTATTTAAATATACTCTGAATAAATCCTCTAAAGAAATGGATAATCCTCTGAAGAAATGGATAATCATAATGAGTTACATACTAAGTTCCTCAGTGCACAATATACACAATTTTACTGAAAATTAAACTTGTGCAAAAGCTCTCTTGCTGAATAACTTTCATTATTATAAATACTTGAATGTTCATCTATATATTTTCAGATATTTTCTAGTAAGTGTATATATTCTTGATCACGATGGCATCCACATTTGATTCCCCTCTCTGTCATCTTTTCTTGGTCACCAATTAATTCAACAGTAGGCTGGGTACTCAGATCTCTCAGGTGTTGGACAAAAGGAGTGCTAATAATAAACATAATCTTCGAAATTATAGAGAATAACATCCATTTCTTTTCCAGGTTTGCATTAATTATTTATCTTTTGAAATTAAAGCACTTCTGCAATAACCTTGAAAACTTGCCAAGATACTTTAAATGTTTGTAGCGTGCTTTAACTACTTTAATTTTATTTTTGGAAGTTTAGAATTATAGAAAAACAAGTTCAAATATAAAAATAAAATGTAAAAGATCTTAATAATGAAGATTCATTTACACAATTTGATAACACATTGAAGTCATTTCCTCACCTGACTTGCTCATAATTTATCTTCATAATGGAGTTGATTCAATGATGATCACTTTCAATCATTAAAAGAACTTCTTCATCTCAAATTATCTGAAGGTCATCCATCTTCCCAACTGCCACTCACCCAAAGTGTACCAAGACTTCTGACCTGTATAATATCCAAATTCAAAATTAAAATTTTAAAAAATCTCTTCACCATACTGGTCTCTTTAAAAAATGTGAGAAAATAATTTAAATACTTTTCTGAAGATGGAATAATGTAGTGAGTATCTAACAATGATTAAAAATATTTTGATCTCTGTACAGTGATAATGTATGAAAAAGTCATGTCCCTTGTATTTGAAAAAAAATTCCATTCTTAAGGACATTACCCAACATGGAAATAATGTACATATGTCTCTGGCACAACCAAACCACAAGAGACCTTTCCATACTTAGCACCATGCATTAGCTCTCCACTCTTTGTTTCTACAAAAGATAAATTAAAATTATGAAAAGGTAATTTTTTTGACAGCTAAGTCTGATTAATTATTTTCCAGTCAGTGATGAACAGAATATTTGATTTCCTTAATAATCAGGGACAGATTATTCATGTTTATCTTAAATAAACAAAGTTTGCCCCCCCCCCCCCCCCGCCACTACAAAAGGAAAAAATAAACTGACTCAGAAACTCTTATTTCAGTGAGGTAAAGGGAATAATGGCATCAGACAAGGAAAGATTATTAACCATTTTTTTCAGTTGAGATGAGATTATATCTTTTAAACATTTTTGAAGTTAATATATTTTTAACCCCCCCCCCTCCCCCCCGCATCAAACAAAAAATAGTCGCCCCATTATTTAGCTGTCCGAAATCTATAACAAAATATTTATTACGATTTTTTTCCATTTTAATTTATTATATCCTGACACTGATACCACCACTATATAGTAGATGCAACAAATTAAGAAGTGACCCCTCTTCTTCCCTCCCTCCCCTAGATGTTTCGTCTAAATGTTAAACGACGTTGTTCAAAATCTTCAAAGACAGAAACAGTTAAACACAACAAATAAGCACATTTTCATTACCTTGCAGTCAGTGTCGAGTGACACACGTAAATAACATCCCGCAATCTCTTTGTTTATTTCTTGGCGGAATTTTGTTGCCTTATAGACTGGTTCCCATACATTGCAAAGGTGTATATGCCCTGAATAAGTCATACGCTTATTAGTTTTGTTTATAAGAGGTAATATCAGTAATATGTCCCGTTCATTTAACAACCTTTACTTTAAAATACTGAAATATATTTTATCATATATACAGATGTTTTCCACCTCAGTATTGTGTAATCCTCTTCATCCAAGTCTTCTCGACTTCAAAACGAACGATCTACTTTTAACAGTAACCCAAATATGGCACTGTGTATTCGAATGAATAGCCAATCATTTCAAATCTAGTTGAGCGGGTCTCATCGGTATTCTCTGGTATTTTTGACGAAAATATGCAACCAGTGATCAGTTGAATTGATACCTTTTCATCTACCAGAAGATTTAAGGAGGTTATTGCTTGGAAAACTGCTCGAGCTCCCGGGCTGGCATGCACTGCAGGTTTGTTTACGTTTTCCATCTGTTTTCAGCATACATTGTGAAACATTGAAACTGATGAAAGTAAGAAAAAACTACTCTGAATATGTGTTTTAGATAAGTAACTTGATAAATTGGGGATAATGTTCCATTTTTTCTGTAAATGATCATGGATTAAACAAGACCAAGAAAAACAATTCTAGGTCACAGTTTCAGAATGTTTAGCTGTTTACATTAGTGCTAGAAAAAAAAATGTAGAAGCCAGGGTAGGGGCAATGTTCTTAATAGAGGACAAGTTAGGTTATATTTTATAGATATTATTTTGTATTCTAAACCATGTCCATTTTTCAAAAACAGGTACAGTGAAATCAATTATGCAGGTTCTTGAAGAAAGTCATGGATGACAACAATGTATGAATTACCAGACCAAGGGATACCAATGTTTTTTTGACGGTATACTTGTACGTATTAGTTTAAAAAAATCAATAAATAGTATCATAAAAATGTTACTTAAACAGTTATTTACATTATCAATTGCTTGACTTGTTCGGGAGTCAGTATAATTATACATTTCTGTTTTCAAAAAATGTGTTATTACTTTTTCCAGGCTCCAGCTACTCAGCTTACTGTGAGAGAGTTAACACCTTATTGACATATCTTTCATGAAGAAGAAACACTTGAGAAGAGTTCAAGAGTTAAATTTTATAGATGGTAAGTGTTGCTTAGACCTAAAGTATTCTTTAATTTTGAAGAAAACAAACATAAGGGTGTTCGGCAATTCATAACTATTAACTGTGATTGCATTGTGTATTTTTAAAATCATTCTTTGGTATGCTTCAAACTCAAAAGTATTTATGAAAACATTGACTATATTTATCCAGATGTATGAAATGTTTATCAAAGTATAAATTCCATTTTAGCATGTTATCTTCAAAATGAGGGACCTGTCAACTTTTACAATTCCAAGATCAGGAAATAATTCATGAGCAGCAACATGCCACTGGGAGAAAGGTACATATATTCTAAACCATAACTTGAATATCATACTATAGCTCTATAAGCAGCAACTATTGGTCTTTTTGTTACCTGATGACTAAGAAGGAAAATGGAGTTAATTATATGTGTTCAGTAATTATCCATAGATACTGATGCCAGTACTTTTTCACAAATTATCTTGCAAGTAAGACAAACATTTTCCAATTCTGCAAAAGTATCTTAGCTACAGAAGGTCACGAGAAATCTTATATTACTCCTACATTAGTATATTTTATAAATAATCCTTTCAAAAGAAAAATCAGGTAATGATAACAAAGAAATTACAGAGTTATTAAATTTTAATCTTAGGGGTAAGACAAGGGCTAGTGGCCCAGTCCATTTATTATATATCATAAAATAAGTTAATAGCAACATGTTCATCTGTTTGTATCTGTCTTTTTTAATAAGATTAACATTGTCTTTTTGGTAAAAATAAAGGCTGACATTAATGGTTCAAAATATTTTCTTTTTGAGGTTAAATGTCATGTATGAAATTTTTATCTACATGTATTAATATGGTTGCATCTTGTTTCAATTTTCATTAGTCATGATACTGTGAATACTGATATCACAGTTTATGTGAATTTATAACACAGATGCCGATGAAAATATTCATATTCATGTCACTGAATATATATATTTTTTTTCTTCTTTTAAGGAAAACAAAAGAAGACTGCCTGCATGAGAATAAAAGTTCTGGACTCTGAAAAGGAATATATATGTGACAAAATATATATTTGGACAGTTGTTGATTTCCACAGAAACGCATGTCGAGTAACAAGAAAGTGGAGCACAGTTTCATGTCAATTCAAATCTTTAAATTCAAGGATGAACAATTGGTTCTTTATAAAACAAAATGACATGTTTGAAAAGGATTTTGGTGAAATGTACTCTGTCCTGGATACTTATATTGTTTACGTGTATGGGATTATATTTGCAGGATAGACTATGAGCAACAGATACTGTCAAGAAATTTGATGTTTTTGATTATATGTTTGTATAAAAATGTTTGGTATAGTAATAAACAAAGTTAAAGTCAATCTGTTGTTACTTTGTATATTAAGTATGATGTCCAGACTCTTCTGCAGTTTCAATTTGGAAGGAAAAGCTTATTTATCATATGCACAAGCTTTACTCAAAAGAATGGAAAACAGTAATTAACTTTTGTGGCTATTAAAGATGTTATTTAATTAAATTTAATATTTGTAATTATCAGATTTAATGTACCACAAATACTGTGTTTAATGTTTGTAAATATTAACTTTACTTTTTTGTAAAGTCAAGACAATGTGGGACATTACATCATATTTAAGTGCATGTAAAGTTAATGTAAAGGTTACCTTTTCCAACTTTGACTTTTTTCAGAAAAGCCAATTAAAGGCATTGTAAATAATAAATTTACATTATCTTTACTTGTTTTGTAAAGCCAAATTTTCATGCAGTGAATATTACATACTCCCTGCTCAGTGATATTATTCAGTGGCACAGCATAGAAAATACAACATGCATGCGATATAGTAATGAATCAAAACTTTTCTGGAAGCTGGGTTGGATTATATTTGGTGGTAAATTCATAAGATTTATGAGTGGATTCAAAAATGTCACACAAATTACATGTGGAGAAACAATTCGTGGAAAGTTCAAACCTGAGAAAGCTGATGTTAACTTTGCTGTGCCAGATATCTCTGTTCTTCTCAGTTTTTCTCCATATGGTACCCAATCTCCCTACAGATCACCAGGAATATTTAACGATTTGATGAAGGAAATTGCAACAGCACTGCAAAACACCTCTGCATGTTTGTCTTTTGATGGAAAAAAAACTTAAACAAGGTTTGACAGACAAAACAGGCGATGTTGATCTACTCGGTTTTGAAAAGGGAAAGTCACTGCACCAGAGGCAAAAAGAAAGATGTAAAGGACTAGATAGACTAAAGGAAATTTTAGACATTAATTACAACTAGAGCAGATGAAGAGGATATACACGAAATGCCATTTGATTTGAAAAGAAATATATGCAAACTGCTCAAAGACATTCTATTATCTCTGTCCAAATATGCTCAGATTTCTCGAAAAAGAAAAGTCAAAAAGAGCTACGCAAAAGAAAAATTCATCCAGAGATCTGGTGCAGACTGGAAGCGAGGACAATTTGTGTATGTCATCAGTGCCATTAACGCATTACTTTTTGAAATCGACGCTTTCTTAACAAGTTACAAAGACATCATAGAGAAAATATGCTTTTATGTGTCCTTGCTTCAAGGATCCCATGGTCAATTCATTTTAGGGAAAAATGTTCTTTTGAACTCTTGTGAAAATTATGAGTCCCTATCGTCTTGTTAAGCAACGTTCCGAGACATGGTTTAACATAAGAAAGGAGGGGAGAGTTTCCGGTAGTACTATATATGCAGCAGTTGGTTTGGATGGATTAAAAATGCTACAAGAGCATTTTGAACGTGCTGTTTGCAAACTTCCCGAGAAGGAGAAAGCAGAGTCATTGAAACAGATTTTAGAATACGGAACAGAGAATGAGATAAATGCGGGTGTTGCAACCACTATTGAAATAACGACCACTATTGAAATAATTATTTCAATAGTGGTTGAGAGTGCATTTCAAAACTAAACACAGGTTGTAACCACTATTGAAATAACGTTCACTATTGAAATAATTATTTCAATAGTGGTTGAGAGTGCATTTCAAAACCAAACACAGGTTGTAACCACTATTGAAATAACGTTCACTATTGAAATAATTATTTCAAAAGTGGTTGAGAGTGCATTTCAAAACCAAACAAAGGTTGTAACCACTATTGAAATAACGTTCACTATTGAAATAATTATTTCAATAGTGGTTGAGAGTTCATTTCAAAACCAAACTCTAGTTGTAACCATTATGTGAAATAACGTTCAGTATTGAAATATGTTTTTTCCAATAGTCACTATTTAATAGTGGCCACAACAATGTACCCACTATTGAAATAATGATCACTACTGAAATAATTATTTTAATAGTTGATATTATTTCAACAGCGGTTTTATACTTCGCATGTGAGTTAAGGCTAGGTATAGGCGTTTCTATGCAAATGAGCTGATAAAAACGCATAAGAGGTATATTTATTATTCAGAGAAAGTGTTGATTTATTTTCTTATGCATACTTAATACCCACGATATGTAATACCCAGTATACATTATGACGTCATATTATGACGTCATTGATCTTACCTACTGGAGGTAATAAAACACATCAACAAAACAGCTTCGGCGCAAGGGATTGCCCTATTTATTTTTACATAAAAATTGTATACTGATAAGAAGAATATTCTATAGATTAATAAAACTGCTGCACAAATCTTAGGCACTTTCTCATTTGATCGGAATTTGAGGAAACTTATACCGGACTGTACATTTTTACCCTTATTCAACTTAAAACTTTACAAATAGAAATTATACAACTGAGCTGTTGATATTTGTGCAGCATTACCAGCAAACTTTGGAATATTTTGCTTCTAAATATACCTTATTTCAATTAAATAAAATAGAGCATGCCCTTGCGCCAAAGCATTTTTGTTGATATTCATTATAATCTTGTGTAGTAAAGAACAATGATGTTATAATGTGTAGTGGCTAACTCATGTTGTGGGTACCAAGTATGTATTAAACAATAAGTTCTAACTTTCTCTGTATAATTGATATAGTCCATAGGCATTTTAATTAGATTATTTGCATAGAAATGTCTATACCTAGCCTTAAATCACCTGCGTTGTAACCACTTCTGAAATAACAACCTCTTAATATGTTATAATGCTTATACTTAGTTTTCCCGAATAGTTGATTTTAATGTATATATAAGCTAGAATTTACTTCTATTATATATCCTATTGATTAAAATAACCTTATTTTCATCAGAAAGTTTGTACTCATAGATATCACATAGATTTCTTCTTTCTTTTTTTTTAAATGTAGATATTCTAATTTCTAAAACTATCTGTTTTTATAAACTTTAACTTTCCGCAATTAATAGCAATGATGAACCTTATATAACAAAATTACTTAAAAATTACTAGATCACTTAAATCACAGATATCCGTGTATTATTACTATTTCTAGACAGAAATTAAAGCATAAAATTACATATCATATTTTAAACTCAATAAATTAATTCATTATGTTGGGAAACATAATGAATAATTTATCTTTATATTTTTTTTTTCAAGAGCGGGGTTATTTCAGTAAGGCTTGCAAAGAAGTTTGGGTATTGAAATCATTGTCAGCAACTACTGAAATCATTATTTAAATCACTATTGAAATCTGTATTTCAATCACAATTGAAATCTTTATTTCGTGAAATTATTTCAGTGGTGGTTGTTGCCTGGTCTACGTTTTGAAATGCATTCAAAACCTCTATTGAAACAATTGTTTCAATAGTAAACGTTATTTCAATAGTGGTTGTAACGTGTGTTGGGTTTTGAAATGCCCGTTCAACCACTATTGAAATAGTTATTTCAATAGTGAATGTTATTTCAATAGTGGTTGCAACCTATGTTTAGTTTTGAATTGCAAATGCAACCAGAAGTTTTTGCAGCCTGGGTTAAGTTTGGAATGCATTCAAAACCTCTATTGAAATCATTGTTTCAATAGTGAACGTTATTCCAATAATGGTTACAACCTGAGTTTCGTTTTGAAATGAACTCTCAACCACTATTGAAATAATTATTTCAATAGTGAACGTTATTTCAATAGTGGTTACAACCTGTGTTTGGTTTTGAAATGCACTCTCAACCACTTTTGAAATAATTATTTCAATAGTGAACGTTATTTCAATAGTGGTTACAACCTGTGTTTAGTTTTGAAATGCACTCTCAACCACTATTGAAATAATTATTTCAATAATGAACGTTATTTCAATAGTGGTTGCAACAAGGGGCATTAAATCTACCTTGTAGCAATAGAACAAATAACT